GGGGGTCAAAACCCCCACGGCCCAGTCCTTGACCAGCCTCCCGGTGGATCAGGCCCTGACAACCAGGCTGTTACTGCTGGCCGCACGTATCTGTCCAGCTACCTCTCGAAGGCAGCCAGGGGTCTACTGGTAATTCCCCTTATGCATGGTGGGAGGCTGTTGAACAGTCTTGAGCCCCGGACACTTACTGTGTTTTCTCTTAAGTGTACCAATGGCACCCCCTACTTTTCTTTAGGAGTATGTTGCACCGTCTGGAAAATTCTACGTACAAGCCAAGTGCTTCCACGCGCGTTCCCAGTAGTTAAGGCGTTTGATGGAACTTACATGTACATAAAGGTTCTCTGTACACTCTTTAGATCTGCAAATTCACCTGCCTTGAATGGAAATGTTAACGTACAGGCTGTGTTTAATTTCCAGCTGTCCCATTGCTCCCGTTTTCTCGCTTAAGAGGAGGGGGAATAAAACCTGACCCCCCGCACTCACAACTGGGCAAGAATAGGTGTGAACACTAAATACAACATACATTGGTTGGATAGTTAACGAGATTTGAAGCCTGTCGACTACATGAGGGTCATTAAATTTGTATTTAACCATTCCACCCAAAGTCACGAATACTTTAATAGCTAAAATAAGGATTAGAGTAAACTCTAAGCATGTATCACTAAGATATACCCCTCACGGTACATATATTCTTGACAGCATACATCCACACGGGGAATATTTATGCGTACTCAGGTTCGAATTTCCAATTAGTGTCCCCTCCCAGAGTCACAGTTGGACGGTGTGTAATATTGATTAGATCACCACATGGCCACCTCAGCCTATCAAACGCCACACCCATGTCTAGATTCTCTAAGTTAAGCTTTACTTTAAAAGTTAAGCTTACATGAAGTATAATAAAGTATATACAGCTTTGTAAGTGCATATTTATATGCTATAGGAATACAGTAGTGGTAAATTAGGAAAATTAAACTCAACAATATCAGCGTGACAATCTTTTTACTTATGATCTACTTTTTGTGGAGAGATTTGTAGATAGGTAGATAGGTACCCTCGGGACGCGAAACCGGAGCTACCTACTTACCACCTTACGAACAGTTTAAAAAAAAATTTCGTAAACTCGAACATTCTAATGTCAACAATATACAAGCGGCACGCTGCAGAACAATCCTGAACTGGGATAACGTTGCGCACTGGATGGAGCTTTACCAGTTCCACATAGATACGACTTGTTAAAGCTCTAACAGAGAGAGAAAACGGTATCCCAGTAAAATTTAGTTCTGCAACGTGTGTCATTCCTGCAACACCTGTGTTGTCACTCAGTGCCTTGGATCTGTCGGTCGTAAAGTCAACGCTCTCGCTGATGAGCAATAAGTTGCGGGTAATGGGAAAGTGGGGAGCAGTTTGAGTGAGACTGACCTTGACCTTTCAACTGACGTTACCTTCCAAAGGGTCCGACCTATCTTCACAAACCACGTTATTTTTTTTTTTTGGTCTTGGGACTCAACTTCAATTTCTTAAAAACAACCATTTTAAAAATCCTATTTCCTTTACTTAAGTTTATATAACTAAGACATACGGTATATTTAGTTAGTTCTGTTTTTAGGATGGATTAGGTTAAGTTAGGCTACATAGACCTATAAAAATCACGTAACCACAAACAGGCAATTAAAAAAGTTATCACGATACCTCTGGCAACGAGATAGTCAAGAAAAAGAACACGCAACGTTTACATAAAAAACGGTACACGGTTATTATTAATCGTGCAAAAATGGTCAGAAAATCAGGAGAATCATACACTTTCCTAGATCGACACCATGCCTAACCCTTCTAGGGTAGGGTTTAGTGCCTGAGCCCGACCTTTAGCTCATAAGACTGCTGTCATTCCCCTTAGCCCCCTTGGGGCGGGATGGCAGACCAAAGAGGCCTAGCTTGTGGCTAGGCCTGGGGACAGTTGGTCCAAAGATGAGGAGGTACTTGTGCCTCCTCCCATGGGAGACTTAGGTCTCAGACAAAATCCCTAAAGAGGGGGCCAAGGCCGGGCCACCACTTTTGGGAAAAAGGCCCCGGGCCGGGAGAATACCGGCTAAAACTTTAATAATAATAATAAATACACTTATCCTAACAGAGTTGGAAGCAAAACCAGTGAAATTGATACACCTCCAGTGCTGCACTTCTTTAAAATCACTTAATTTATATCACATTACTTCTTAGAGCAAATATATATTACATTTATGAGACAGGAAAATGAGATAGAGGTGAAGAGGTAAACAACAACGCCTGGTAGATAAATACAAGACAGGCAAATTTAGGAATATAAGAATAAAGGAATGTGTAAAGTCGTGCAAGCTCATACAGACAGCTTATAATATTTATAGCACCCACTGGTTACCTGTATCTCCCTGATACTCCCATTACTCCTATGTTTTGTTTTCTCAGTTTTTCAACACACACGAACACAAGAATGAAGGAAAACTGCAGTACACCTATCGGCCCCCTAAATCCACTTCATAAATCCGTCCAACCTATATTTCAAGCTACCCAAATTTCTCGCCTCAATGACGCTAAACCTGGAGTTTAACTCATCTACAAATCCTTGTCCAAACCCGTGCTTTCGTATATCTATTCTAAACCCAAATTTGTCCAACTTGAATTCATCCTTGAACAAAATTTTCTGTAACCCAGGCTTGTACCTAAAAATTATAAAGGGTGTCCGAGGGGAAAGGGCACCCTGTCAAAACCTTTTGAACATTTAAGAACACGCAAAGAGAATTTCACCATATAAAAAAAAGTAACAAATATAAGAGCTAATCTGTCTTCACAGTAGAGTGATCCACCAATCGTTCTGTCAAGCCAGGCACAATCTTCTCTTGGTTTCATATCATAGCCTTGCTGACATGTTACATAATAACAGGCGTGTCTGTCAGCATTTCCCATAGTACGTTGTATCTGACAGCACTGAATAACAGCTTGTAGCTCTCTTGACACAGTACAAGTAGCTAGTATCATACTGTGAATATCACATCTGTCACTCGAGACTCAAAAAACTAGCATACTGCCCGTCCGCGCGAAAATCTTTAATGGATTCCGTAGTGTTGGTTATTATAATAAAAAAGCGCTGAGGCCCTACAAGGTCTTACAGCCCGTCAGTGGTTATTGGATAGAAAGTCTTGTCCACATCATTACGCTGCCTATAAGTTGTGGCGCTGGAGGTTACAAATAGATTTCTACTACCTCACTAGAGGGCTGTGCTTCATCATGAGAGACTTAAGATCACTGGCTTAAAACGTTCGGATTAACTAAATCTAAACAGTACCTGACCCAGCGGCGGTCTAGGGCCACCCAGTAGATAAGACCCAAGAAAGTCTAGTGATTAGTACCAGTCATGTGTACCGAGACGGATGTCCTGATCCATAACTTAACAGTTCGGCATTCGGGTGCCTTATCTTGATGCCTCAACCGAGCAGGACTGCGATCGCGATGACACTCAGGCCAGCTTGCCTGATCCTAATCACCCCATGAGGTCACACACTACAGGTCCGCATGCGTGGAGACAGGTGACCACAGCGCACACAGTGTAAGAACACGTGTTCGCAAAGATGACTTACAGCACCCCGACACCCACGCAAGACTAGTGGACTATCGTCAACACCCGGCCGCCCTACCGTGTGTGGAAGCGGGAGCTTTAGCACCAGGCCAACCGGGTCACACGATATTGCTTATAGAAATAACACTGACGTTTATACTTTACATCCCAGTTATAAGATAGTGTCCTTGTGGGGACAAAACTCGGAAGTCAAAGGTTGAAATGGAGGCTTGTGTCCGTCTGGCATACACACTGTGAGAACTGTAGGCACATTCTGTGTCAGTAACTTGTGCGATCCACTTTGCATAGAGTAGATATTTCGTTCTATTTTACCGTTGGTTCTAGATCTCACTACTGGATAGTTAGCTAAGCTGTTGCCGTATGGCTTACCTACCATGACATTCAAATTCTGTGAACGCGTAGATAACTAAAGCTCATATATGTGACGCAGAGCTATGAGGCTCACATACGAGTGAATGCCTTATAGAGCTAAAGTTTCATCCTACTCCCTGATATTCCGAGCCTATTAAAACCGAGCTGATGCCTTCTAGAGAGACTATACAGGGAGCTCTCCTCCCATGGCGTTACTGTCTCGATTAGTCGATTTATATCTATCGTATATCCGGAGGAGAAGAATGCACGCCCTGAATACACCGACCTCTCTTTGTACATACCGAAGACCTGCTCAGTGATTTGCGGGGGACGCGCAAATGTTGT